ATAGTGGGGTGGGTATAATATATTATTTTTATTTTATAATATTATTATTAATTAAAAATAATAAAACCTGATTTTTGATTAAAAAAAGTCAAAACCTGATTATTAAAAAGTTAAAACTAAACACCTTGTTTATGGTAATTTTCTCAAATTTTTAAGATTCAATTTCTATATAAAATTTGTTTATACAAAAATCAAATATTAATTCAAATATTTAATGTTATTAATACCACTAAAATTCATCACAATCTCTAATTAATCTCCATTCTCATTTATCTCACTTTCTCACGCATCCCTTTCTCTATACTCGTCGCGGTGCATCATAACCGTTGCACCGACTTGCTCCTCTTGTAGCGGTACTGTGCGACCGTCGAGCACGACGCAGCAACACCGTTGCGTGCAGTGGTGCCTCGCTGCTGGCAGTATCGCTGCATGCTTGCAGTGCTGTCACGATGGTGTGTGCGGTGCTGATGCTAGTGGTGGTGGTGCGGTGAATGGAGGTGGGGTGCAGCGGCGATGGTTTTTGGGGTTTTGGGTTGGTTTCTTCCTCTGATCTGCTTCGTTGGAGCTTTTGGGGATGTCACCAGTGTTTATTTATTTATTTTTTTTTTTTTTGTGGTTTTGAGTGGTAGCGGTGCCTGCCTTTTTGGGTTCTTTTTCTTTTTCTGTTTGTTACATATTGTAAAGCAGTGTTGACGGTGATGTTGTTAGCAGTGGTGGTGGTGTGATTGAGAGTGGGATGGTGTGGTGCTTTGGTATTTTTTTTGTTGGTGGTGGCGATTGTTGTATATTGAGGTAGGTGTAGGTGCAGTTGGCGATAGAGGTGGAGCACATAATGGATTTGAGGGGATGGTGGAGGTAGAGGTGGTGGTTGATACAGGCAACCGTCTTGGTGGTATTTGGTGGTGGTGTTGACTGTTATCATCATCATTGCTATGGTGCTGACGGTGGTGCTACTGGAGGCAGAAATTGTTTTGTTGATTGTGATCAATAAATTGGTTGGTGTGTAATCAATAAATAATGCGTGACCAATGAAATATATAAATTGTGACCAATAAATAATGTTTGACCTAAAAATTTGTTAAGTTGTGACCAATAATTTGATAATGTGTGGCCTTAAAATAATTTATGATCAATTAATTTGATATTTTGTGACTATAAAATTAGTTGTGATTCATAAAATTTGTAATTTGTGACCAAAAATAATATGTGACCAATTCATTTATTTAATTTGTCACCGAAAAATAAATTGTAACCTATAAAATTTGTTGTTTGTGACTGTGACGTCTGTAATTGCAACTAATACATAATTACGATCATAAATTATATAATATTGTGACCCTAATATATTTAATTAATAAATTTTTTTTAGTTAATTATTTAATAAATAAAATTTAAATTAATATTTGATTTTTGAAAAAGTAAACCTTATTTCTTAGATTTGAAATGGGTCATACTTAATGTCTTACTAATGAAATTTTCCCTTTTTAGAAACTGATAATGGCATCAAAAATATAGTGGGCGAGAGCCCGTTAAAACCAGTCAAATCTAGTTGAACTAAGCCAACTAGGTTGAATCCCTTTTTTATGAAAGCTATCGAATGAGTCAGGATGGAGTGGCTACCTGTTGGAGGTTCAACCAACCACCACTGATCAATTTCGCTTTGAGGTCACCCTTTACTCTACCATTATTATAGGGGTACGGGGTTCGAGATAAAGAAAGATCACAACACACTATTAGTTTTCCCTTTTTATTTTGCTTGGATTTGTTTTTATGCTATTAGCTATTCTGTTGATTCTTTTTCAAACAGGAACCATCTATTTACAAATATCATTAACAAGATTTGATCTCCAAACCCAGAACCAAAAACCTCCCCAAAGCTTGGTCATCCTAGATAAGTTGAGGTAGGAAGTTTGGCATTCGTGAGGACACATCCCTTCCTTATCTATTAAGAATTAGGTCCCGTGACAGAACTTTTTTCACGGCACATTTAGTACACTAAGCTCGACATAACTCGTAGGTAACAATCATGAGAATTTTTTTTCTCGAATTTTCATTGAGAGTTAAAGGATTGTCCTTTTAAGAAATGAAGTTTTTTATTGGAATGTGAATAAGATTTTGGTTAGCCAATCTTTGGCTTTCATATTTATTATTATTATTATTATTATTATTATTATTATTATTATTATTTTATTTTTTTGTGATTTTGAGTGGTAGCGGTGCCTGCTTTTTTGGGTTCTTTTTCTTTTCTGTTTGTTACATATTGTAAAGCAGTGTTGACAGTGATGTTGTTAGCAGTGGTGGAGTGGGATGGTGTGGTGCTTGGGTATTTTTTTTGTTGGTGGTGGCGATTGTGGTATATTGAGGTAGGTGTAGGTGCAGTTGGCGATAGAGGTGGAGGACATAATGGATTTGAGGGGATGGTGGAGGTAGAGGTGGTGGTTGATACGGGCAACCGTCTTGGTGGTATTTAGTGGTGGTGTTGACTGTTATCATCATCATTGCTATGGTGCTGACGGTGGTGCTACTGGAGGCAGAAATTTTTTTGTTGATTGTGATAATAAATTGGTTGGTGTGTAATTAATAAATAATGCGTGACCAATGAAATATATAAATTGTGACCTATAAATAATGTTTGACCTAAAAATTTGTTAAGTTGTGACCAATAATTTGATAATATGTGGCCTTAAAATAATTTGTGATCAATTAATTTGATATTTTGTGACTATAAAATTAGTTGTGATTCATAAAATTTGTAATTTGTAACCAAAAAATAATATGTGACCAATTAATTTATTAATTTGTGATCGAAAAATAAATTGTAACCTATAAAATATGTTTTTTGTGACTGTGACGTCTGTAATTGCAACTAATACATAATTACGATCATAAATTAGATAATCTTGTGTCCCTAATATATTTAATCAATAAAGTATTTTTTAGTTAATTATCTAATAAATAAAATTTAAATTAATATTTGATTTTTGAAAAAGTAAACCTTGTTTCTTAGATTTGATATGGGTCATACTTAATGTCTTACTAATGTATTTTCTCTTTTTAGAAATTGATAATGGCATAAAAAATATAGTGGGCGAGAGCCCGTTAAAACCAGTCAAATCTAGTTGAACTAAGCCAACTAGGTTGAATACTTGAATCCCTTTTTTATGAAAGCTATCGAATGAGTCAGGATGGAGTGGCTACCTAATGGAGGTTCAACCAACCACCAGTGATCAATTTCGCTTTGAGGTCATCCTTTACTCTACCATTATTATAGAGGTATGGGGTTCGAGATAAAGAAATATCAGGACACTCTATTAGTTTTCCCTTTTTATTTTGCTTCGATTTGTTTTTATGCTATTAGCTATTCTGTTGATTCTTTTTCAAATAGGAACCATCTATTTACAAATATCATTAACCAAATTTGACTTCATCTCCAAACCCAGAACCAAAAACCTCCCCAAAGCTTGGTCATCCTAGATAAGTTGAGCTAGGAAGTTTGGCATTCGTGAGGACGCATCCCTTTCTTATCTTATCTATTAAGAATTAGGTCCCGTGACAGAACTTTTTTCACAGCACTTTTAGTACACTAAACTCGACATAACTCATAGGTAACAATCATGAGAAATTTTTTTTCTCGAATTCTCATTGAGAATTAAAGGATTGTCCTTTTAAGAAATGAAGTTTTTTTA